TTTTTTTGGGTTGTTTGTCTTGTTCTGTTTTAGAAAGGGTTGGTAACCAAGAACAGACTTACAGGGAAGATAATAAATAAGACATAGTGGGGAGAAGAAAACACGTTTTTATTAGGGAAGGGTGTTGTATCTAAGAGATACACCCTGGGAGACTTGTGTGCAACAGGAAGAACACAGGCAAGCACTTGGGAATTCAAGAACTTCACTCACTGCTGGAATTATTGTTGCTGGTACTGGAATTTAATGTGAAGGTGCAGGAAAGTTCATGCATGCCAAGTCATTGAGCAGTAAAAGAGTCACTTAGCAATCTATGGTTTTTAATGTCCTTTGTAAATACTATTTTAAGGTGAGATTATTTTAGAATTGTTTAGCTGCAGTGTGTTTTCATGTGAGAAAGGSCAAAAATGGACACTTGAAATGACCTCCTTTATATTCTTTTCAGTAACCTTTTCAATAACCTTCAATACACGAAAATGTATTTAATTCATGATCACTGATTTCCAAATTGTAGTCTGAGTTCTTTAAGCTTTAAAATGTACTTTTAGGAAGATTAATTGAGGTCAGGTAGTTTAATGACTCTGCATAAACCCTGCTGCTTTATGGAGAACATTTTATGACACCTTCGCGCAAAAAAAATTTAGTATGTCCCTATAATCTAAGGAAAAGAAATATTAGCTGTGTGTTTAGTCTCTATACTTTATACTTTTCTGGATTTCCAAATATTAATGCAGTCTGAATGCTGTTATTATTTTGTGCTGCATGGGAGATGTAACTGAGGCTGCAGTTTATATCTGGAGCACGAGAGGGCAGCGTGTTCCTATGGAATGCCTTGTTCCCAGGTGAAACCCAGAGCTGCAATCTCTGCTGAGTGCTTTTTGTGGAGCTCATTAATCACTGCTTGATAAACTCGAYTTCTTGGGGCCAACTCTTGGACAGAGTTACTTTCTTTCCATGTGTAATTTGTTACAAACAGAAGTAACCTCTGAAAGCTGTAAAGTTAAATGTGTGTGAATGTTTGAAGGATTATGGCACCTAAAGCTGCAGCAGGAGCAGAATCACAATGGTTRGGGCTGGAAGGGACCTCTGGAGATCACCCAGTCCAAAACCCTCCCCAGACCAGGTGACACAGGAACATGTCCAGGTGTGTTTGGAATGTCTCCAGACAGGGAGACTCCACGCCTTCCTGGGCAGCTGTTCCAATGCCCTGCCATCCTCARTGTAAAGAAGCTCYTCCTCATATTGAAGTGGAACAACTTCTTTTGYKTCAGTTTATGGCCAYTGCTCCTTGTCCTRTCACTGGGAACCCTTGAAAAGAGTGTGGCACCATCCTCTTTTCACCCCTTTGAGATATTTCTGTGCATYAATGACATCCCCTYGGTCTTCTCCAGGCTGAATAGGACCTGCTCTCAAATGTCCYATTGTAAGAGAGATGCTCCAAACCCCTCATTCTCTTCTTGGCCTCTGCTGGACTCTGTCCAGTAGCTCTTTGTCTTTCTTRCAYTGTACATTGGAAAATTTTAGCAGAAGCTACTGAGGAAAAGGCCAAGAAGGGAGATGGATTTACAGATGTATTCCAACATAAGGAAGCAYGAGAGAAACCATAGCCTGCTCTGTGTTCTGCAGAGGAAGCTTATAGAGAAATGCAGGAGAAAGGGACATAGACAGAGGCAGTATAGYAATATGCATATATGAATATCTGTTATTCACTGATGTGTCCATAATATTAATGTCACAAGGATGGAATAGAGATGAAACACTGGGCATGGGAAGAAAATGTTGCAATTTAAATATGTGGAAAGCAGCAGGAAAGTAAAACTCAAAATTACTGCATTGAGAAAGGTCTCGCCTGTTCTCATGTCAGTGTTGTTCACAAATGTAATTTTATATAAATAGCTATSCTAAGTGCTCTATGTCCTTTCCATRGATTYTTCCTTTTTAWGAAAAGAAAGCACCAATGAGGTGGTCTTCACTGCGTATCAAACTTGCTTAAGTAATGAGATTTAATTATTTAAGAGAATTAAAAAAGGGGAAAATAACAAGTGTTTGGAGTTACTAATCTTGGGCCATTTAATGATTTATTTTCCCCTGTTCAGTGAGGTACAGAGTGAGTGGTGGAAATTACTAAAACCTGTTATGGATTGGCAAACAGTAACAAGAATCTGCTTGTATTTCCTAACCTAATCATGTGAGCAGTTTTCCTGAGGCCAGGCTGTAGGCAGAGTATAAWGGGGGAAAGGGAGTTGCCCAATTCACTGCTTTAAATCATTTTCARCTGATGAGCTTGTTAAGAGCTTCCACATCTGCCAAAATACTGCCTTTGGGGAAATAAAGTCCCAAATTGGAATTTAAATTCCAAATTACCAAAATTTCGATGAACGGGAAGGGGTGCAATATTTTCTTTGGAAGCAGTAAGAGTTTTCCACACCAGAAATATCTTGGTGTGTTGGAAAAAAAAGGGACTTCCAGGTCCCCCTTCTTCCTCAGGGAGCTGTGGCGGTGAGCACCAAGCTGGGGGTGAGCCCCTGCCCCAGCTGCCATTTCAACCTGATCTYTCTGCTCCAGAAAGGTTTTGGGGTTTGCAACAGCCTGTTTGCCACTGAAACAGGCCTTCTGTAAATAAACCAGGAAAACCTGAGMAGATATTTGTGTGAGAAGTGTGTCTTTTCTGGGCAAATTACTATATATTGCTGTTGTTGGCAAATGTTGTTTTTTGGGTTTATTCCCATGAAAACATTTGTGAAATTTCCAAGCAGCTGTACATGTGCCTGTTTGTCCTGCTAAACAAGTAGGTTAATRAGCAATATGCAGTGAAACTGTAGTAGGTACAACTCAGCTACCTAATTGTAACTTGAGCAGTTTGGAAAAGTGTCTTGACWAAGGAAATCTACTGGATTTTATTTTTCTATTAGAATTTGAGAGGGACTTTTAAATATATTTTATTAAGGAGRCAGGTGTGGAAATGCAGACTCATTAGAAATGTAGTTTCCACATGTCAAAAAGTTGTTAGATTTGACAGCCCAGAGTTTGAAATTTAGTTCAAGTTGGTCAATAAAATACAGAAAAAAGAATGAGGGAGGATGCAAAAGTTTGCTTTTCTACTTTTTTAGTATTTGCTTGCATTTCTTACCAATGCTAAAGAATGAAATACTTGATGAAAAAGATTGTATTTTTCAGAATTGTCTGTGTGCTTATATAAATAGATGAGTAGGGTATATTGTAATTTAGAGTATGGACTTCCAGTATAAAGCATCCTCCTATTATATCTAGGTATGAAAGTTTCTAGGATGGTCTCAAAGAAATGTCCTGCCACTCGCTAAGGAAATAGTACTGCCAGGTACAAGTGCACAYGTAGAAATCTGGATAATCTGTAAATTCAAATGCAGTTTTTTACTGTGCACCAGCTTTCCTGTATGGAAAAGTGAGATTGCATAATGTTTTCTACTTCTCAGAACTGAGGTTTGCCAGTAATTTCCCGTCCTGTCTTCTGTCCCGCTTTTGYTTAACAGTAAAAAAGGGCAAAATTATTACTACTCATCCCCTTGRCATTTGTTTTAGAACAAATGGAAAGGGATTTCACAATTTCTGGCTGAACACCCATGGATGTACTGCTTTCTGGATTTCAGTTTCCTGGTTTTTAAAGGTTTTTTTGTTTATTGAACATCTGASTGTCATATTTGTGTAGGTGAATTGTAGCCCAAATATCCAAGAAAGAAAATATAGAGAATGTACTGTCCTTACTAGTGCTTTTCATCCTTTACATGAAYCAAACCTTTTTAAAAAGTAGAGGTGTATGAGCCAGAATAACCACACAAAGCCTTTCAGGGGGCTCTGAAGCTATGAAGTGTGGTGGGAATCATGTGCTTCCCTCRTGTGAAAACAGAAACTGAGGTGGTAACATGCATGGAGATATTGCAGTATTTGTGTTTTAAACTTCCACAGTGCCTGTAGCTTTTGGCAAGAAAAAGCATAATTTTTATCTTGAGTAAACTGCTGTGATAATTCAATCACATGTTACTCAAACATCTGTGGATTCTTCATGTGGGTGAAGATGTAGTAGGACATGTGTTAAGGATTTTCATTTTCTAAATTAATTTTATTATTTTTATTAGGTCATCCTTGGCAAGTACACSTGGCTTTCTTACGAAGATGTGTACATTAAAGCTGTTAATTTTGGAAATGGCTTAGCAGTCTTGGGTCAGCAGCCAAAGACTAACATTGCYATCTTCTGTGAGACCAGAGCTGAGTGGATGATTGCAGCCCAGGCTTGCTTTATGTGCAACTACCAGCGTGAGTACCTGCCTTCCCTGAAGATTTTGTGTCTTTTGATCTTACAATATAAAAATAAAACTTTCTCACTTTGGTTTATGTACTAAGAAAACTTTATCTAGCTTTTATATAGAATATTAAAATCTTCAAATTAAAAAACATGGCATAAAGTGGAAACTGTGCTTTGTAAGCCTTTCGCTTTAGTGAATAGAGAAACCTGTATCTGTTGGCAGATGGAGAATGGTTTTTGTAAGTGTAGTTTGCTCAATGAATTCATGAGCCGTTTGTTTTCTTTTCATCATAAATCAGTACAGATTCTGAAGTTTCTGAGAACAAACAAACAAAAATCACACATGAATTCATTGACTTGGTTTCAGGAGTTGACGTCAAACCTTCATCTGTGCCTGCAAGTTTTGTTTTAACTGGATATTTTGTCAGTTTTTCAATTTTGTTTTCTGTCAGGCCTATTTTTCTTGCTCAGGAATGTACTGAGTGCTGATGTCAATGTGCTGTAGCTGTTTAAATGTCTGTTTCATCATCATTCCTTAATCTGTCCTGCACCTAAGCTCAGCCTGGCTGGGCTCTGTGATGCTCTCATATCCTTGTCCCTCAGCGCTTGTCAGAAACTGCTGTTCCTCACAGGCTTTGGCCTCTTCTCTCCTGTGCCACATTTACCCTCCTTTAATAAGAGATGGCTTGTAAAAACCAGATGTGCAGAAATTCCTGATTTCCTACCTWCATACACTAACAATGTCTGTCAATAAGACTTTTTCAGATTTTGGAAGCAAGTCTAATAAGATTTTATTAAAATGCTCCCTCTGTGCTCCGAGCATGAATCTGCCTCAGTTTGAGGAACAATATGTTGATGAATATACAGCATTTTCATTTACATAAGTCTTTAATCATATCTCTGGTTATTTTGCACGTTCCCTTTGCTGTATGGTTCCCTCAGTGTTGAGGGTGGAGTTGGTGACAAGGTGCACTGCCCTGGCCCTTAACTTTTCAAAGTCAGCCTGCTGGCTCTGGGCAAGGAGAGAGTGGATGTTGTGTATGGGATGGCAGCAATGCCTTTGGCATGGGCTGCTGCAGTGCCTGTACAGCCAAACTATTCACATCAAGATGGGTAAGATGGACCTTTGGCTGCAAGGATTGTGATCCATAGGACAGAGGTATTTCCCAGCCCTCAGTGGCTGTTATTGACTCTAGCTGTGTGTAAGTTTTTTATTGAAGGCCTGGACGGTGGGACACAGTGCAAACACAAGAGGTCACAGGTGGCATGTTGGGGGCAGCAGCCAGTACACTCGAGGGCTGGGCTGATGTGCAGRGCAGCCTGTCAGCTGGAAGAGTGGGATGTCTGCAACCTCATGGAATTCAGTAAAAGCACTTAAAATTTCCCSTGTGTGTGCTGGAATACCTCATGCACCAGTGTAGACTGGGGGACAGCTGRAGAGAGCAGCTTGCATGAAAGGACTGGAGAGTTCTGGTGGTTCATGAATCACCCAGGACTTTGCAGCACCTTCTTTCAGCAGAGACCAGCAGCATCCTGGATGGTGCAGCGTGAATGTAGATAGACCCAGGGAAATTATCCTATTCTTCCTGTTGGACACTGGTAGAACCACATCTGGACTACTGTGTCTGTGTTGGGGCTTCCTATTGGGAGAAAAGACACTGACATCCTGCAGCAGATCCAGTGGAGGGCTGCCAAGATGCTGGAGGGGTTGGTGACATCTGAGGAGAGGCTGACAGAACGGGGTCTGGTCAGCGTTACGATGAGTGAGTTCAGACCTTGTTGCTGTCTAAAACTACCCAGTGGAGGGTGCAGAGGAGATGGAGCCAGGCTCTGCTCCCAGAGGTGTGCTGTGACATGACTGGAGACCACAGTCACGAGTTCCATGGCAGTAAGGCTTGATTAGATAGTAGGGCAAACATCTTCATTGTGAGGGTGGTTCAGTGTCAGAGCCAGAACAAAGAATGTTTGTGAAATCTTCATTCTTGGAGATCTGTAAACCCAGACTGGCCGTGGCTGTGAGCGTTCTGCTGGAATGGATGGTGTGTGCAGGTGATCTTTCCCRGTGCCTCCAGCCTAAACTGGTGATGTTTTGGGTTGGTTCTTCAGTGAGTAAATGCTGCTGGCCTGSCTACCAGAGCAGAGACCTGCACAGACTATTCTCCAATAAGATTCCTGTGTTGCTTTTCAGCTACATGTCTCTRTGCCAGTTCCCTTTTATCACTTTAGGGATCAGTCAGATTCCTAGTGGCTCTCCTGGGAATAAAATGCAGAGGCTTGTATCAATTTTTTTTCCTTTGAAAGTGAAGCACATTTACCAATCCTAGAGAGATTTTGTGATTTGAAGGGGTAAAAATTTGAGCTAGGGGCTGRTTGTTGTGAGCAGAATGGTATGCATGTGGTTTTGGGTTTGTTGGATTAGTGCTTTAAATCCCCTTACTGCGACGTGCCTCAGCACACACTCTGACGTGGTGTGCAGCATCTAAGCTGTGTCATCTTCTGTGAACTTGGCTGACTTGTGCTGGCAGATGAAGGGAGAGCTGTGCAGTGCTCACGGGCAGTTTGCAGAATGAATTGGAAGATTCAGAGGGTGTAGAAGTAGTAGTAGTGGCAAGACATAGCTAAATGGCTTATGTTAGCATTTTTCAGTGTGCAGGTTTCATACCAGCTCGCTGCTGTGGGGGTGTTGTGACATTCTTTCCAAATGTGAAATGTGTTCAGTCTGGTGGCGTGGGCCCAGAACTGATGTCAACAGAGCGGGTTCATCTGCTTCATACACAGTGTTGGAGAAAATGCCTTTTGCACTGCAGAATTAAAATGAAGAAAGTGATGTTTGTTATGGATTGCTTACACAAAACACAAAKAAGTGATTTTATGGTTAGAAATACTTGATTGATTTTAAATGTGAMTTTTTTGAAATTATATAAGTCTTGTATTTGTAAGAGGTAGAGTGGAATTGCTAGTCCAAGAGTGGAAGAAGTAGTACTAACATGAAAACAGATTTTCTTCCTAAGTGYCTCTTCGTGTGTRTGTGAGMAGCTCTTCACCAGAGTAGGCAGATRAAACACAAGAGCATAATCAAATGGTGGAATAGGAGAAGTTCAGTTTAATTTTTCAGTAGTGCTGGAGCAGAAGTGGTTTTGTCAGGATTAGATTTGGCTGAGGCTTGTAAAGGTGCATTTTGCTTTTTATTTTCGAAGTATGATGGATGCTGAAATAYTCAGCCTAACATTTCAGTTACCTTGAAATAAATTGCAAAAGTTCTGTTTGTTTCTTTAGGGCAAGGTTTTGTCATTCTATATAAGCTGGCAAATTCAGTGGTGTTGAGGCTTTTCTTTTTGTCAAGACTTTGGTCAGATAGCAAAGACTCCCTTGTTATATTGCATGCATGAAAGTGAATACAGAATAATCCCTTCTCAGTATGTTTTCAAGAGAATGAGGAGAGGAAAAAAAATTATCAAAACTTTCAGATTTGCCTGAAAAGGTTTAAGGTACCAGTGTGGAGAAGTGAGAATTTCATAGATAAGAGTCTTTGCTGTATTTTGTTCTCTCCATGACACCAGTGCACCATCATATAAATGGTGTCTCTTTCTCCTTGGCTCTGTCACATAACTCTGAGTGCCTTAATTTGCAGATGAGTAATTAAGTACCTCCGTGGCTACTCCTGTGATGATGCTGTGCCTTCTGGGCGGTGTTGTCAGCTCGGTTCTGCTTGTTGGCTCAGGGCAGCTGAATTTCTGCTACATGTTTATATAACAGGGGTCACTGCAGTAAGTAGAGAGAGCTCGTGGGAACTAGTAGAGGCACTCTTCTGGACTTTGCTCCCACCAAATTAAAGAAAACACAGTGCATGTGCATTTGCCCTGCAACAGTTCTGAACTATGATGGACTGTTTTAACAAGAAAAAAAATAAGTAGAGGTCAACTATTTACTTTTCTGTGTAAGAAAACTGCATTTGAGTTCTTCCTCAGTATGCTGCGCTGGGTTAGTAACTCCTTGGATTTAAAATATTAGAATAAAAATCTTAGAATACAACAGAACTTGATTTAATTTCTTTTTTTTTATCTTTACTGCAGTGAACATAGAATTACAGTCCTAATGTGGAAGGGGTGTCTTGTTTTCCTAATTATGTTCTTTAAATATTCAGCTAAATATAGACTAAAATACAGAAGATGTTCAGATACCTGATGTGACAAAACTCCCCGTATGGATGTTGTACTTACTGATTGTGTTAGTTGGATCTCAGAGCTTTTTTTGGGATGTCCCTGTTTGGCATTCTGCTTGGAAAATAGGAAATGATTATTTTTTTGGGAGCAATACKTCTCTTCCTCTTCGAGCAGTCTCTTTCTTCCCCAGTCTCTTCTGGTCTCTTCTTATTCAGTTCCCATAAAAATGGCAGGAAATGAAATACAATTTTAGAGGTGTTAATATGAAATCACTGTTTAATGTACTCACTAATGAGCTGACCTTAAAAACAGGAAACAGCGTACGTATCWTATAGGCAATTTTCTAAATATTTTCTTTCCTTATGATGTCAGTTTGGGGTCTAATGATTGTTATGATTAAACCTTTATTACTTTTTTTTTAAATAGATGACAGAGCAGGGTAGTCACAGATTTATTCCTGAGTGTGAGAATTCCTCTGTTGATGACACATAGTGCCATTTTGTAATAACTTGTTATTAGCAGGCAGTTGTAAAAGGTTAGTAACAGAGTATGTGAGTTGAATTCTGGAAAGAGAAGTCACATGAATGAAAGCTGTTTCTTTCCTGTGTGCAAGAGGAATGTTACACAATGTTTGAACTGAGAATGTTTGCCTGCTTTTCAGATGGTAAAAGCAGTGACACTACAGCAATAGATCCAGCCACCCAATTGCACAGGGTGATGTGGTTTTGGTGCCTCTAATTAGGCCTTGGAAAACAGTAAACAGTCACATAGAGAATGGTTGTTCATGAYTCCTTCTGGGAGTAACTGAAAATTATGTTATATTGCAATCCATATGAAGAGGTTTTTAAGTACATAACTGTCCCACCTTTCTGAGTTGACAAATATTGTTGGTGTTGGCTAAGTTGGAATACATTAATCTCAGTTACTTTTTGTAAAATATACTTGAAAACGTAGCCCAGAGACTGACCATTTCCCCCGTTTGTGTTTCAGTTGTTACTCTGTACGCCACTCTGGGAGGCCCAGCAATCGTTCATGGGCTGAATGAAACAGAGGTGACCACCATCATTACCAGTAAAGAATTGATGCAAACAAAACTGAAGGTYAGAAAACTGTTCTTTGTCTATCTCATTCCAGTGTGTCTGTTCATCATTGTTAAATGGCCTGGTTCCACTGTACAGAACAATGATTTATTGCCTTTCCATAAGGCAGGTACTTTTGGAATAAGATTTATGTATCTGTCTTCACATACAGAAAGTGATAGTTTGCTTTCAGTGGCTCTTAGGCTCCTCARTGACTGGAGAATGAGCAATTTGCAGTCTTGCAGAGCTGGAGTGCTGCCTGGAAAAACACCTTTACAAGAAACTGCTGTGGTTTCTAGGTGGATTTAGTGCCTATAAATGCTAACAATGGGAAGAACAGAAAAAAATGTATAAACTGTGTATGAGGAGCTAACTGTGATCATGCTCCTGGCCTGTTATCAGATGTTTTCCCAGCAGAGAACAGCTTTCAAATCTAAAGATGAGTTAGAGCTATTTTTCCATGAGGGTGGGGGAAAAGCTCACTAAATATTAGAACAATCAACTTTTTTGATTTACTGATGCAAAACCCAAGTGGAACAGCTGATCTTCATGATCATTGTGTTTTGGGGAAACTGGATCTTTCAGATAAGGCATTTGTTTTAATGAAAAATTGGGCTATTGGAWTTTTGAATGAGAAATTCCCAAATTTTAGAAAGTGGTTACTATAATATATGTATATATGTATACAGTATATATRCCATGCACATTTATTTCAGCTTTCAGTAAGAGAATGCATTTGCTCTGCCAGGGGTGGTGATCATTCCTTCTTCTGTGAGAACACTGATAAATGTCTTAGAACTCATATTTTGCTTGAAATGCTTAACTGATAATTTTCATATTTTTGCTAGCTGTTTCTTATTTTAAATAGCATAGCAACTGAGGAGCAACCTAAGAATTATTGTGAGCTCAGTATCATCAGTTTCTCTCTGTGTTCTATGGGAGTGGAAAGACAATTATGTCTGCAAATCTTCGCAGTCTTATTTGCGGGTTTTCATGAAATAAGGTGTAAATCAGTAAATGGTTGGAGAAGCTTTTGGACCTAAAATTGGAAAACTTGAAGCTTTGCAGCTTCTTAAATTTGACAGGTTTACCCTCTGATTATTTAAAATTCTAAGATGTTTTATATTAGTGGTCTTTTRAAAGTATACAGCAGATAGCAAGGAGGATTTTGTTCTTGGGTGKTTTTTTTTTTCCTTGTTGGCATAAACCTAATTTTTGTGAACACATTTTTCATTTCCACAGGAAATTGTTTCTCAGGTCCCACTGCTGCGACATATAATTACAGTGGATGGCAAACCCACAACGTGGTCAGAGTTCCCCAAGGGTGTCATTGTTCACACCATGGCATCTGTGCAAGCCATGGGGGCCAAGGCAGACATTGGTAGGTTCTTCCTGTTTGGACCAACTCATTTGATACTCTAATTTGACCCTGTTGAGTAACCTTGGAGAAATTTCAGGTTTAAAAATTGTGCAAATTAACCTTTTCTTATCTGCATTTCCTTTAAATGAAACCTGTGTGGGGTTATGGGTTTGGTTTGTTTTGGTTTTTGTTTGTTTGTTGCTGGTTTTGTTTGTTTGTTCTCRTAGTTAATTGGATTTTGGGGTGTAAGTTTTGTTTTTCAACAGAGTTGGTGCTTTTAAAAAAAACTGACTTCTCCACAATCAAGTGTTGCAGGTTGAAGGATAGTTTTTAGGATAAGCAATTAATTGAGGATGCAAACCTAGAAAGCATTCTTATGTTCAGATATATTGGAACCAGGTTATTCAGGGCACAGATGAAAACTCATTGTGTGTTTTATAACAAAAGAAATCAGTAATTTGTTACCATTAAGTTTTATAAAATTCACAGACAGCAAAATGTGAAATAGCCATTTGAATCAGATAGAATTTGGTCCCTTACTACAGTTCTGAAAGCATCAACTTACTGTGTGAATTCATTCATTCAAAGCATCAGTTCTACTATGTAAATCCTATTTCTAGACTATGTAAAAATTTTAGAACCAAAATTCAGAATTTTAGGAGTTGTTTTTAACTATTATGAAGATCTTTTATTCTTGACTCTGAAGAGCTGTCAGTCCTAGTATCATCAGTCCTAGATTTCATTGTATGCAGTAGTCGCTTTTTTATTCTTTGTGYTTTCAGAATCTCTTAACTACTGAAGGCGCTTAAGTATTGTATTTTAAGAGTAGGGAGAGTGGTCAATCTATCTGTTCTTGATGTTCAAGGGAATGGCAGATTTGTACCCAACATTGTAATCTCTCAATTTTTTAAAAGATGGTATTCACTTTTTTATATTCCAGTTTTATGTACTACTAAAACTGTTTAATATCACACCAGTAGAAAAATTTTGGCTACAATTCAGTAGCTGCTTGAAATTTGTTAATCTATGTGCTATGGGAAAAAGTATGTAATCTTTCTTCAGTCTTTTAAATACCACATACTCTGCACTTCAATAAAGGAACATTGTCCTTGTCAAGTTAACCATTCATAAACTGTGAAATGCTATCATGAATTGTTTATGGTCAAGCATGTCCAATTAATATTAAGTAGATGAGCTATTGCTTGTGTTATTTTTTCCTCTGTGTTGTTCCTTGTGCAGGATAGGCAGGATTCAGTGAGTGGGAAAYGATTAAATATTGCTTTCACTCTTCTCGTTCAGTGTGTGCATTGTGCCRCATGCGCTGTGTGATGCAGTTTCCTCTGAGTAAGCACAGTAGTTYTTGTGTTTTCTTGCTCTCAGCACAAGTATTTAAAAAGCACTTTAATCCAATTAAGGCTGTTGAACTTCTTTTAAATATTTATAGAGATTGGACCTCAGGTTGGCTCAGCAGTGCTTTGCTGCAGGTGTTGCAAGTGAGGCAGAGTGTTACTCTGTGCCAGGGAGCGTGTGAGGAAGGAGCTTGGCACAGAGGGATGGACCAGGGCACTGACCCCTCCTGAGGCAGGGATGCTCAGTGCTGCTCTGGAGAAGCCAAAGCTCTGTTTTYCTCTCCACTGCAGCAGGGGGGAAATGTAATAGGAAAACCAGTGCTGTGGTAGATAAGGACAATCAGTCAAAGTATTGCTCTGGTAATGCAGAGTTCCTTCTCTTTGTGAAGGCACTAAAGCTTGACCACAATCTTTTTAAGCAAAAGCAAAATGTAATAACGAGAGTCCTGTGGTGCTGTGCTGCAGTGACCACTGAAATGTGTCAGTGTATCGGATCTCCCAGCCCAAGAGAGTGTTCACACATAACAAATCCTATTTTTTAACAACTTGCAGGAAACAAACCGCCATGCAGGCCTGTGCCCTCAGATATCGCAGTGATCATGTACACAAGTGGATCCACAGGAATTCCCAAAGGAGTTATGATCTCCCATTGCAACATAATTGCTGGGATAACTGGAATGGCTGAGAGGATCCCAAATCTGGGGTATGTACCAGCCATCACTTACCAGCAAATAAAGAAGTCATGTAGTTCCATTTTGTTTTAGATGAATTGTGTGTAAAATATGAACTGTTCCATATTGCTGTGGCTGTGACACATCATACTGTGCACTGATGTCTGAGCATCTTCCAGCACTGCACTAGATGACATGACTACTTCATATCTCTTTGTTCTCCCTTCTTTGGTGTGGGGGCAAGACTGGGACGCAAAAGCCTGTGAGGCCACCTTGCACTAGAGACGTTGAAAGCTTCCCTAAGTTGTGCTTCCCTTGGTTAATGTTTAAATTCTGTGGCTTCTTTCTGGTTGGTCCAGTTTTTAATCTGGTTGCCTTTGCAATCATAGCACATGGTTATTTGACTTGGGATGTGTAACCATCATCCTTTGTTCATGCCTGAAACAATACAATAATACATACAGTTGGTATGCAACTCCTGAAATAAAATGCATGTGACTTGAGATATGTTCCTCAAGCTCAGAGGCATTTTCTACTTTCCCTAGTTCTGCAATAAACTTTGCAGAAACTGTGCTTTATGATTCATCTGCAGACTCCAGTGATACAACATAAGCCTATCTTTTTAAAAATTYTTTGCAGGGAGAAAGACATTTATATTGGGTACCTGCCTCTTGCCCATGTTCTGGAGCTGAGTGCTGAGCTGGTGTGTCTGTCTCACGGGTGCCGCATCGGTTACTCTTCCCCACAGACATTGGCTGATCAGGTATGTTGTAGATGTAGTCTTTATGGTCAAAAAAAACCAAAAAAAAAATTAAAAAAATTTGCTTGCATCAGATCTTTGTAATATTTCTGTAAAAATAGTACAATTTTTTTTTCTCACGTTAAAGATCTTGAATATGTCTCCTRGTAAACTTGTTCTTTACTTTAGTCCTCCAAAATAAAGAAAGGAAGCAAAGGGGATGTCACTACACTTAAGCCAACTCTAATGGCAGCTGTTCCGGTAAGTAACTGAAGGATGAATGATTTTAAAACCCTTTTTTAAAATATAATTTATAACTCAATTTTTAGCAATAAAATTAATACAATGACCATTTAAATACAAAAAAGGTAGAGTCTTTGATATTGAGCTAGCTTAAAATAATATTTTTTGTATTTGTTTGTTTGTTGGGGATAAACATTCATTGTATGAGCATCAACATTTTTCAAAGCTGAAAGAGCAATAGGGATTAGTTTCCCATTTTAATTAGTCATTTATTGTTTGTTTTAGTGATGAATGGAATAAAGGGAGTTGGCAGCAGGCAGCTGGGGATTAACTGCTGCTCCTGCCCAGATTTTGCTTTCCTTCTTCCTGTGAACTTCTTGCTGTCTTTTAGCCAGGGAACAGGAGGGAACCTGGGAATGTGGTCACCTGAAGTGTACTTGAATTTCTAGGAGTTTTCTTTTTGCTGTACTGAATTCAGGATTCTGTTTCTTTGAGTTGAWGTCCATCTTTTTACATAACTAGGAAATTATGGATCGAATCTACAAAAACGTCATGAATAAAGTGAATGAAATGACCAGTTTCCAGCGGAATCTATTTATATTGGCCTACAACTACAAAATGGAACAGATTTCCAAAGGTTACACTACCCCACTCTGCGACAGGTAATGTTAACTTTATTTTTAATGGCACCAAAAAATCACTTATCAAAGTCTCACCACAAGAGCAGTATCTGGCTTTTATTCTTTTCTTCATTTTATTATTGACACTTTGAACATGAGCAAGTCCGTATTTAAGTGTAAATTGAAACAACAAATTAGTAGTTTGTGTGATGGATTTAAATATTTACTGATAGAATTTGAGTGTTATTTAACTTAAAACTGACTGARAATTTACATTTATTGCATTTTCATCAGGAATTTAATAATAGATTTATAGAATTTTGGGGAAAGACAAGAAATCTGTTCCTATAGAAAACTGTAGACTTCATGTTTTCACAGAAGGGAGCCACAGTATGTCTCAAATTGGAAAGAACCCACAAGGATCATTGAGTCTAACTCCTGGCTTCAATGGGAGTAAAGGATAATGTAATTACAACATTTGTACAATTTAAAGTATTTTTAGGAGAAAATCACAGAACTTTACTGTCTCATTAAATCTGTATTCTGAAACATTCAACCCCTTTCAAACTGAAAACAAGCTTAGACATCTGTGCCTGTATTCTGAAAACTTCAGTGCTGTCCTTCAAGGTTTTCCTTGGACGTCATAAAAGTGCGTTTGAAGATGGTGGAAAGTTTCAGATACTCTCTGAGTGCTCTCTCGTTTTGTTTTGAAGCACCAAAATCTCTGTTCCCTTTGCCTTTCAGCCTTATCTTCCGCAAAGTGCGGATGCTGCTGGGSGGGAAGATCCGCATCCTGCTGTGCGGCGGAGCCCCGCTGTCAGCGGCCACGCAGCGCTTCATGAACATCTGCTTCTGCTGCCCCGTGGGGCAGGGCTATGGGCTCACCGAGTCTGCTGGGGCTGGCACCATCACAGAAGGTGGGTGCTGATGCCCAAAAGAGGCCTAGAAATWAAACTCTRTAGACYGGTGTCTATAGAGCAGGTGTTTGTTTATTGCAGCGCTGGAGGTGAGGGGATTTCTTCTCCTAACCCACCTGCCTTTGCTTCAAATTAGCACAKWWTTA